TGTGACCACATTTTGAACGTCTTGAGACACTAATTGTGACTTACAATTGAACCTATTGATATTATGGCTGCGATTGTGAAAAAATCATTGTGAGACATTTGTGACCACATTTTGAACGTCTTGAGACACTAATTGTGACTTACAATTGAACCTATTGATATTATGGCTGCGATTGTGAAAAAATCATTGTGAGACATTTGTGACCACATTTTGAACGTCTTGAGACACTAATTGTGACTTACAATTGAACCTATTGATATTATAGCTGCGATTGAGAAAAAAATCATTGTGAGACATTTGTGACTACATTTTGAACGTCTTGAGACACTAATTGTGACTTACAATTGAACCTATTAATATTATAGCTGCGATTGAGAAAAACATCATTGTGAGACATTTGTGACTACATTTTGAGCGTCTTGAGACACTAATTGTGACTTGACCGTCGTGATACACGATTCCACGTTTGATACTAGCTAAGACACTCGTTATATAACTAAAACACTAATATCAAAATCATTTGAGCTACGTGTTTCGAAATGAAAAATCTGAGTTATAGTCTATTCAAAATAACTTATTTAGGCCAGACTGGTTGAGTTTTATGTTTTAGAATGTCCAAAACGTCTTCAATAAGATCTAAATGGTGAAGAAGCTCTAGAAAATTATAAGGAGTAAAGTTTTAAGAATGTTTATTAAAATATTTGTGTAGAAGTTATGTAATAGTTTGTACATTTAGTGCATGTTTCCATTTTTTTAAGAAGTAAGGCGATAACAGCTTTATATCACACCGAGATGTTATAAAATAGACTCTCGCTAAAATTAAAAAATAAACTATAGGACCTTATTTTATAGCTTTTGTTTTCCTAAATCTCTTCCTTAATGGAGAAATGGTACTTCTTTCTCTATTACTAATGTATATTAATTTGGTACATTTATTATTATTATCAACGAAATTAATTTTTTAAATAAAACTTCTAAAGTTTGTGTAAAGTGTGAGTTTAATGCAGAATTTAAAGTGAGTCTTCCTAGTGGAGAATCATTGTGATATTTCAGAAGAAAAGTGACTTTTTCTGCCAGAGAATCCAAGCATACCCTATGAACTGAATTGTACTGTAACCGAAGGAGTCGCATGTCTTTCGTACGGAGTTCGTTGCATACATATTTGCAGGAATTTTGTAGTAACTCGATCTTCGTAAGTTACACAAGTAGTTTCTTACTTCAGTATGTGTACAAAGTGATCAAAAACATTGAAAATCACGATGCCAAAACTTACACAACGGAGAAGTGACTTATCACGGAGAAAGTCTGAAACTGAGAAAGAAAATGAAACATCAGGGTGCAAGTTACAGAAAGAAAGAGACAGGCTTGTTCACCAAGTTATGAGGCAAGATCCAATGAGAAGAAGACAGGAACAAACCCGAAATACAGAAGCACATCAAAAGTCGAGAGCAGTTTTGTGACAGAAAAGTATACCGTTCAGCTCGCCAAGATCTTGACCTAACAGACGCTCGTAGGGCGGCATTTCTACTATTTAAATGTAACCATGCTTCGCCAGTTTGGAAAATGTGTTCACATTATAACAATTATTGTAATAACAAAAATGCCTTTTCTAAAAACATGCGATTCGAGCACCCTAACCACCTGGCCATGCCGGGCCACACTATTTTAGGGAGACCAAGTACATCGTATGATTACTATTACTTATACCCGTATGAAAAGGACAATTTCAAATTAATTGAGGTATGAAAAAGTATCATTCACAGTTAATGGTGTGTGAGAGACACACACACAAAACGAAAAACATAATCCGCAGATTAAAATAATGAAAGAGTCAGTGGAAGATTAAAGTCACGGATTATCTAAGAATATACCTGAGCAAAACAACATTATGAATTAGAATTATTGAAAGGAAACTGGATCCAAGAAATTATGAAAATTCTACGTTCAGAATATATTAATTTTATTATGCCTTTTTTTTTCTTTTCCGTAATATATGTATATTTGGTTATTACGTAATACACCGTATTATGCAAATAGTTTGGTTGTTTCATTCAACACTTCATAATTATCGGTTTGATATTGGAAATTATGGACAAACGAAATCGTTATTTAAATATATCACCCAATGTAACATTATTTACAAATATTTTGGGTATAATGATAAGATATAAAGCTTAATAAATGAATATATTTCTCTCTCTCGTTGTAACAACAGTTTGTTTGGTGACAAACTTGTAAGCACTGGTTTGGTTATTTTAATAAAGAGGTATAAAGTATATTTCTTTCAAACTGCAGTGTTATAGCCTAGCCCAGTGGTTCCCAACCTTTTCACCACCGAGGACCCTTTTATTATTATATGTTTCCCACGGACCCCATTCTGTGTTCTTCCGTGCATTATTTAATTAAAGAAAATAACTCGTGAACCACCAGTATTACCTTCGCGGACCTTCAGGATTTCGGGGACCACTGGCTTAGCCCTTCTGTTTCTAGGAAGGGAATAGTTTTGTAGTACTAATGAATGAACAAAAATAAATTAAACACTACATATACACACACACGAATAAAGTAGGCTTAGAATTCTGTATAACAATTTTTTTTTGCTAGGATCCTTTACCTGTTGGAGTTTTATATCATAGTCCTTTCCAGGTTCCAGTAATACTCCATCAGTAGTAGTAAACTCAGGAATGTAGTTCTTGTGGTGAATGACCAGTTTGGCTTGTACGTTGTCTGATAACGCCTCATCTGGTTCTAGGTTTACTATAGCCCAACATTCTGTTCAAGAAAGTTGTGACAGTTATAATACGTAGTCACTACTCATTGTAATAGCTATTGTGTCAACTTAAAATCACCATTAAAATGTGATATAATTTTCCAGTTTCTAGTTGTTGTAGTGGGGACTGAAATACTTTTGACATTTTTGAGTAACTGGACGATTTTTGACTTCAGATGAAGTAAGCCTTTATTTCCCGACTATTCAGTTTTACATCTGATTGGGCTGCAGTGCAGAAATAAACATGGCTTTTTGAACTTGTTACTAAGTCAAAGTTAGTGTATCAACGGTTGAATTTAGTAGTGTATCACACGTTTGTTTCGGATATTCGCGCAAAGCTGATTGTCACACAAAACCAAAACATTTACCATTAATACATCTTATATTTTTTGCCACGAGTTTTCATAATTAATTTTTACTTGCAGTTTTTACTTTCTAGATTTAAAACAAGTAAACCATAAGTAACTTACGTATGTTAAAGCAGCATTAAAGTTTTTTCTCAAAGAGGAATAAGTGAAATATATCTGATGAAAATTGTAAATGAATCATCTATAATCGAGCATTAAAATATCATTAACTGTATATATATATATATAAAGAGAGAGAAATCCAGCAAAATGATAGATTCACAGTAGCATAAGTAGTCCCATAGCATATATAGTAATAACAGCAACGATTAACATAAAACATTAGTACTAGGCCTATTTTATTTTTAACGCCGAATTCTTTATCTAGTCTCTTAGCGATTTTGAAGAATTATAAATATGTATAGTAACAGTATTTTAACCACATTACGTTCGCCATATCCCTTGCCACAGACGCGTTTCGCTCAATCCAGAGCAAATCAGGCCAGCTGGGACGCAACAAAGACAGCAGTGGTCATAATACTTTATGTAACCCATCTGTTACAACAACAATTGATATGGTGTGAACGTCTTTGTTGTGTCCCAGCCGACCTGATGAGCTCTGGATTGAGCGAAACGCATCGTCGGCAATGGATGTGGTGAACATAGTGTGGTTATAATATTATTATTATGAACTCTCGTAATTATTGAAAATCCTAAAAAAAATCCTAAAGGGCTAGATATAAAATGCAGTGTTAAAAATATAATATTAATGTCTTATGTAATCTATACATTAGAGGCTAATTTCCGTCTGTCCGCAAAACTCCTCCCACAATTTAAATCCGATTTGGATGAAACTTCGCACGATTTTTCAACATCATTACAATTGGGTATTTTATAAAAAAAAAGAATCTGAGGGTCGCAGGTTCGAATCCCCGTCACACCAAACATGCTCGCCCTTTCAGCCGTGGGGGCGTTATAATGTGACGGTCAATCCCACTATTCGTTGGTAAAAGAGTA